AAAAAAAAAAAAAAGAAAGAAGCATAAGTCTATAGAGTCTTTCATTTTAAACCACAGTTTACCATCTTGGACTATTCGTTTCTCCCTACTAATTCAGATCACCATCTATAGTCATTTCGTTCGGCCTGAGGACTTTCTTGTTACTTTCATAATATACAGATGTGCTAGCAGTAAATTCTCTAGTTTATCTAGGAACATCTAAGAATGTCTTTATGTTGCCTTCATTTTTCAAGGGTAGTTTTGCTGGAGATAGAATTCTTGGTTCACAGGTGTTCTTTTTTTTCTTTCAGCACTTTGAAAATGAAATTCTATTCCATTGTTTCAAATGAGAAGTCAGCAGTTAATTGTATTGATGCTCCACTGTATGAGATAAATCCTCTTTCTCTTGATGCTTTTAAGATTTTTATCTTAGTGTTTGATTTTAGCTCTTTTTCTAGGTATGAATCATTTTGTGTTTATGCTGCTTGGCATTTGTTGAGCTTCTTAGATGTGTAGATTAATGTTTTCATCAAATTTAGGAAGTTTTCTGCTACTGTTTCTTCAACTATTTCTTCTGCCCCTTTCTCTCCTCTCCTTCTGAAACTCCTGTTGCACATGCACTCACAGCCTTGAGGTTGTCCCAGAGGTTCTATTCTGGAAGGACTATGTTCACTGAGCTGGGGGGAGGCAGGGAGGTCCAGGCCAAAATGCTACCTATTCCCTCTGGTCTTAATTGAAGTTCAGCAGTTTTTCAAGCATAAATGCTTCTCAGATTGTTGTATTCCTTTGATCAACTTTCAGAGACTGGCTGGACATGGTGGCACATGCCTGGTAATCCTTAGTGCTCTGGGAGACCGAGGAGGGTGGATTGCTTGAGCTCAGGAGTTTGAGACCAGCCTAAGCAAGAGCGAGACCCTGTCTCTACTAAAATAGAAAAACTATTGAGTATGTGGTAAGCACGTGTAGTCCCAGCTACTAGGGAGGCTGAGGCAAGAGGATCGCTTGAGCTCAAGAGTTTTGAGGTTGCTGTGAGCTATGATGTAACGGCACTCTATCCAGGGCAACAGAGTAAGACTCTGTCTCAAAAACAAACAGTAAAAAAAACTTTCAGGGCTCGGCACCTGTGGCTCAAGTGGCTAAGGTGCTAGCCACATACACCTAAGGTGGCGAGTTCGAATCCAGCCCGGGCCCGCCAAACAACAATGATGGCTGCAACCAAAAAATAGCTGGGCGTTGTGGTGGGCGCCTGTGGTCCCAGCTACTTGGGAGGCTGAGGCAGGAGACTCGCTTGAGCCCAGGAGTTGGAGGTTGCTGTGAGCTATGCCACGGCATTCTACCCAGGGGGACAGCTTGAGGCTCTGTCTCAAAAAAAAAAAAAAAAAAACTTTCAAAGGCTGATATGGTGATTCTTTGGGGGGTTGATTTTGTCCTCTTTCTTTTTTTACAGTTTTTGGCTGGGGCTGGGTTTGAACCTTTCACCTCCGGCTTCTGGGGCTGGCACCCTACCCTTTTGAGCCACAGGCGCTATCCCTTATTAAATTTTTTTGAAACTCGATTTGCTACAACAGGTTAAGTAGTTGGTTCCCCAAGAGTTTGTTCTAGTTGACAGCACTGGGGTCATTGTAGCATTAATTCAATAAGAATCCAGCATTTGGAATATTAAACTGTGGTTTTAGATTGGACTAGCTGGAATGATTAGCTGACATATTGTTAAAAGTGCTCGTGGGTGGGGCACTGGCTCCATATACTGAGGGTGGTGGGTTTGAACCCAGCCCAGCCCAAACTACAACAAAAAAAACAGCCAGGCGTTGTGGTGGGCACCTGCCTGTAGTCCCAGCTACTTGGGTGTCTGAGGCAAGAGAATCACCTAAGCCTAGGAGTTGGAGGTTGCTGTGAGCTGTGACGCCATGTACCAAGGGCAATAAAGTGAGACTCTGTCTCTCAAGAAATATTTGAATAGGCTACATGGCAAAATACATTTTTAAGTAAAAGTAACATTATGAGTTACAGTACAATATATTAGTATGATTCTAGTTATGTAAAAACAAAATCCTCTCACCTACCCACTTCCCCCCCAAAAAAAAACAATCCCCTTTCTCAGATTGCAGACGTATATACGTTTTGGGGGATTTTTGTGGAGATAAAATCTCACTCTGTTGCCCTGGGTAGAATGCCATGGTTCATCGTAATTGACAGCACCCTCAAACTCTTGGGCTCAAGTAGTTCTCCTGCCTCATCCTCCTGAGTAGCTGGAACTATAGGTACCCACCATATGCCCAGCTGGTTTCTCTATTTTTAGTAGAGATAAGGTCTCATTTTTGACCCCCATCTCTACTACATGGATTGGACCAAGGAGACCAGTGCTGACTTTTTCAAATTTCCATAGAGGAACCAAATACACTAGCAGGCCACTTCTGGGGTGGAATTGGGCACTGTGCAGGTCACTTTCCCCTTTCTCCAGACAGGCTTCTATAGTGTTGGAATTTTCCACAGCAGGAGTATATTTGTGTCTCTTGTGTAAATGAACTTTTTTGACTCCCAAGAGTAAATTTCAATAGCTCTGTTTTGCCAAGTGTGAAGTGGATTTTTTATCTCTTTCTTTTTTGATTTACAGTGACATGGGCTCCAGGGCTGGCTACCCTGCTCAGGTTTACAAAACTGCCAGCGCAGAGACTCCTCGGCCCTCCCAGCTGGCCCAGTCCAGCGCCTTCCAGCTCTCCGCCTCCGTCCCCAAGTCCTTCTTCTCCAAGCAGCCTGTGCGGAATAAGCACCCAGCAGGGTGGAAGAGAGCGGAGGAGCCACCCTCACGGCCACTCCCCTTCACTGACCCAAAGAAGTAAGTAGCTGGATGCCCAGTACGGCACGGCATGCCTAGAGCCAGGCCAGAGTGTCGCTGGGGCAGAAAGAGGGCACTGCCTCACCTACACAGTGGGGATACAGCTACAAATGGGATGACAAGAGCCCCGCTCTTAGGGAGCTGGCATTCCCAGTGGAGTGACAGACAGTGAGTAGAGTGAATAAGAAAAGCATGCAGTGGGTCAAGTGGTGGTTGGTACTGTGGGTATCCAGACAAAGAACATTGCAGGGAGAGGGAATAGCAACTGCAGGGGCCCTGAGGCAGGACTGCAATTGTCCTGTGGGAGGAAGACCAGGGTGGCTAGACAAGTAGGGAGAGGCAGAGGGAACATGAGGTCAGAGGGGCAATGGAAATGGATCATAGAGGGTCTCATGGGCCACATGTAAGGGCTTTGGTATCTGCTGTAAGTGAGATGGAAGGTGTGGGACAGAGGAGGAAGGACGTGATCTAAATTGGGTATTCTCAGGGTCGCTGTGGCTGCATGTGGGGAGCTGCCTGTGAGGAGCAGGGAGGAGCTGCTGTCATGGTCCAGGCAGAGACGTGGAGGCGGAAGCAGGGTGGAGGGCGTGAGGGTGAGAAGGGGGCGGGTTCCGGAGAGATTGTCTGTGTCTGAACAGGAGCAGCCTGGATTTGCTGGCAGGTTGGATGGGTGTGTGTGTGTGTGAGAGAGAGAGAGAGAGAGACAGAGAGAGGGAGAAAGAGGTTGAAGATGACAGCGTCTTGAAGCCTGGAGGATAGATGTGCCTTGCGCTGCGCTAGGGATTGAGTGAGGAGCAGACTTGGGGAAAGCACAGGAGCTCAATTCTGGAAGCTTTACAGCTGACGTGCAATAGGACATCCAGGCAGAGACGTGGAGGAGGCCAACAGATGAGAAGCCTGGAGTTCAGCAGAGAGGTCAGGCCGGAGAGAGAATTGTGGGTGTTGTCATTTTGTGGCAGGGAGTGTGTTTGGAGAGAGACACCTCAGCCAAGCCCTGAACCAAGGTGCTGCCCCAGGTGAGGGTGGGGACCTGATGGGCCACCAGAGGTCAGATCAGATGAGCCCAAGAGCATAGGAGTGAACCTCCTGGAGGTCTTTCAAGGGTTCAGGCAGAAAAGTAAGGCCGAAGTGAAGCAGTTGCATGAGCCCATTTGAGGCATTTTGCTTTAAAGTGAAAGAAGAGAGTAGTGTGTAGTTAATAAAGGTTTTATCCTGAGCAGTGGCTTATGCCTATAGTCCTCGCACTTTGGGAGGCCAAAGCAGGAAGATTGCTTAAGGTCAGGAGCCGGAAACCAGCCTCAGACAAAGACCCTGTCTTTACAAAACAGTAAGGAAAAATGAGCCAGATGTGATGACACACACCTGTAGTCCCGGCTACATAGGAGGCTGAGGCAGGAAGTTCACTGGAGCCCAGGAGTTTAAGGTCTCAGTGAGCTATGACGCCACCATACAAGTGACAGAGCACCAGACCCTATCTCAAAAAAAAAGTTTTGTTTTTTAGTTGGAAGATATGATACCTAACATGTACTGAGTGTTCACCGTATGCCAGGCTCAGTTCTAAGTTTGGTTTCTATTTTTCTTTCCTTTTTTTTCCTTTTCTTATATTTTGTAGAAATGGGATCTCACTGTATTGCTCAGGCTGGTCTCAAACTCCTAGCCTTAAGCAATCCTCTTGCCTCAGCCTCCCAAATCCTGGGATTATAGTCAGGAGCCACTGCACCCAGCCTCTAAGTTCTTTTATGTTAATTAATTCACTGAATCTTCACAGTAGCTCCGTGAGGTAGACCTGTTCTCCCCATCTTACAGACCAGACAGCTGAGATCCAGAGTCATGCAGCTGGTGAGAGATGGAACCTGAATCAGCCCAGAGCCTGGCCCAAGGCTCATGTTTTCTTGGGTGAGGGGTCTTTGCCCTCCTCCATTCTGTTCTTTGTCACATTTTCTTTATGACCTGGATATGGGCACTAAAATTTGTGGGTGACACAGAGCTTGGAGGGGGAGATGTGTTAGGAGACAGAAGGTGTCTCCAGAGATGCTGGCAGTCGAGAGCACTAAACTCAAAGTGAGAATCCAGTTCATGCCTCACTAAGAGCCAGAGGGGACTCTGAAAACTAGATTCTTTTGTTTTGTGGGGGGTTTTGGGGTTTTGGGTGGTGGTTGTTGTTGTTGTTGTTGTTGTTGTTGTTTTTTGAGTCAGCATCTCACACTATCACCCTGGGTAGGGTAGAGTTCCCTGGTGTCATTGCTCACAGCAACCTCAAACTCTTGGGGTCAAGTGATCCTCCTGCCTCAGACTCCTGAGTAGCTGGGACTATAGGCGCCCACCATAACACTGTCTAGTTTTTCTACTTTTAGTAGAGATATAGTCTCACTCTTGCTCGGGTTGGTCTCAAACTCCTGAGCTTAAGAGATCCTCCCACCTCATCCTCCCAGAGTGCTGGGATTACAGGAGTGAGCTATCTTGCCGGGTCTCATCACTGGCTCCTTTTCGTAAACCTGCAGCATCTTCTTGGTGCTCCCAGGATTAATGACAAAGGCTCTTATTCACTGAGCTAAATTCTGTCCAGGCACCACATTCTTTGCCAGACTGCTGCCAGACCTTGTGTGATCAGCCCTTACTTCCCTGTCCCTATCCCTACCATTCTGCTCTGGCCACGTACCTCTGGCTCCTCCTCCAACTCACCTACCTGACCCACCTCAGGGCCGCTGCGTGGGCTCTCTTAGGCCTGGAAGGCCCATTCTCCAGAGTGCACCAGCTCCACCGGCTGCAAGGGAGAACTGGCCCAGGCCTCTGCTGTCGTCTGGGGTTGCCTGCAGTCTTTGGTGTTCCCTGGCACACAGAGGCAGCAATCTTGTCTCTTCCTTCCTCTTCATGTGGTGTCCCCCTGTGTGCAGGTCTCTGTGTCCACCTTTCCCTTTTTTGATAGGACATCAGTGATATTGGATAAGGTTCCACGCTCATGACCTGACTGTAACTTGGAAAGACCCTGTTTCCAAACGAGGTCATATTTGGAGATTCTGGGGGTTAGGACTTCAACATAGGCATGGTGGGGAGCCTAGTTTAACACATAACACAGCACCTCTGCTGGGACAGAGGCTGCAGAAGGGAAGAAGCCTAGGGTCAGTGGGACAGCTGAGCCTCATGTGGGTGCTCAGAGGGCCTCTCTGAGGAAGGCTCGTCTGTGCCAAGAGCAAGGGTGTTGTGTTATGTGTTGAACTGGGTCGCCCCTCCCAATGCCATGTCAATACATTGACATGCCTTCTGAAGATGGCTCTTTATAAGTGTGTATTTGGGTAAACATGTAAACCAGGTATATAAAATATTTGGGAACACAAGTGAAAGAGTTTCATGGTTCCTTATAATATTTATTAATTTAATTGCGGGTACATTTTTGAAATCACATGTGTAAAATATTAGCTTTGAGTTATTGCCGTTGCCCATACACTTCTATTTCTTGATGCTGTTTCATTCAGACTCTCCATGAGCATTTTGGAGATAGTGTCTTCATCATTGTTAGAGGCACTTTGGAGTCACCTAACCTAGTTTTCCAGAAAACTTAATTTTCATGTCTAGCTAACCATTTGAGATTACACTTTTTTTTTTAATCTGTGTATAGTACAGTCACTTGGAAATTGTATCCCAAGGCAGAAAAACTTAATTATTTTTTCTTTCTTTCTCTTAGGGACAGAGTCTCTATTGCCCTTGGTAGAGTGCCATGGCGTCATAGCTCACAGCAACCTCCAACTCCTGGGCTTAGGCAATTCTCTTGCCTTAGCCTCCCAAGCAGCTGGGACTACAGGCACCCACCACAACGCCCCCCTATTTTTTGTTGCAGTTTGACCAGGGCTGGGTTTGAACCCGCCACCCTCGGTATATGGGGCCAGTGCCCTACCCACTGAGCCACAGGCACCACCCACAAAAGCTTATTTGTATAACTTTCTTCCTTACATTTATCAGCACCTGCTCTTCCACAATTTATTATAAACCCTTTGGCTACATTAAAGCATTTAATCTTTGCTACAAAACAGTGAGGTGTAGTACTTTGCATCCCATTTTCCAGGTGACAGAAAATTGAGGTATAGAACAGTTGGGCTGCTTGCCTAAATTCATTGATTTGGTTGAAGTTTTATTTCTCCACATGTGATGATCATTGGTTTTGTAATTTGTCCCCACAGGCTCACCACATGCTATGAACTTGTTCCCCTAGAATGATTGCATAATCTGTCTGTCAGATGTCTTTGCTTTCTTTCAGTTGATTCTGGTCAGGCCCCCTAACACATCCACGACCTGCACTGGTGGAGGCTGTGTGCCCCCTGGAGGAATGAAAGTGGCTGCAGCCAGCACAGGGAGTGCCATCGTGCCACTATGCAGCCTGGCTGCCCTACTCAGGCTGTGTAGACCTGGCCTCCTTGATCTTCCTGGCAACCCCACAAGAGGGATCTTGTCCTTACCCCCATTTTCAGATGAGGAAACTGAGGCACAGTTAGATCCAGGGTCACCCACTATAGAAGCAGCACATCCAGTCATGTGAGAGACTCAAGTAAAGACTACTTGCACCCAAAGCAGTGACTCAGAATTTCTTGAGGAATAATTACTTGGAGGAAACAGTCTCGTCTCTATTCGGGTACTGCGTTCTGTATTTGTCAAACAAAAAACAGAGTGACCTGGTGAAGGTAGAGAATCTGTGTGCTGTGGGTACCATAGCACATGCCCCAGAAGGGCTCAGGAGTTTGAACTTGCTGTGAGCTATAATGACACCACAGCACTCCACCCAAGGCGACAGAGTAAAAGTCTGTCTCAAAAAGAAAAAAAACAGATGGAGATGCCTGTAGCTCAGTCAGCAGGGTGTCGGCCACATACACCTAGGGTGGCGGGTTTGAACCCAACCTGGGCCTGCTAAGCAATGATGACAACTACAACCTAAAAATAGCTGGGCATTGTGGCGGGCACCTGTAGTCCCAGCTACTTGGGAGGCTGAGGCAAGAGAATCACTTAAGCCA